TGCAAAGTATTTGTTGTGAAGCCTGGTCTTTGACTAAGGGACATATCAGATAATCACAACAGAGTTTACTCCTTTGGTTTGGTATTCAGAATTTAAAAAAAAAACAGTCCCTTTTAATTCTTGCAAACTAGATGTAATGGTGGTCACATTTTGTCAGCTGTTCTTAAGTAAGATTAGTCTATTTTGTGTTTATGTCACTCTTCTTCCTCTACTTAAATGGTAATGTTTATAGTGATGTAAGAGGCACAGCTGGGGAACGTAAGTCACCCTTTGCTCTCTCCTTCTATTATAAAGATATATATGGCTTCTGTTTTCAGCTGTGTAGTTACCATGCTATATGTGTCTTTAGCACCACTGCAGGTCTTGTATAATATGATTCAAGTTCAAAGAAACACTTGGGATCCTTTGGGAAGGACGTAGCATGGCAGGTTACCTGGAGTGTAACTGAGCGAGATACCATGACTTCTGCTTATGTTCCTGAACGGAGGCCCTGTTGATATTCTTGTCAGTTAAACTAAAGTTTGAAAGCAGTTGTAATAAGCAGGCCATCAGAATTACCTTTGTGGGTACAAATTAGGTATGAAATTATGTTCTGTTCCCAGTGTGTGAGCTATCAGGAGTCTTGAGACTCATCGCTCATCATCTCATCATGGTGAGAGATTTGGGTCCCAAATGTTTGGATCTCCCTGGTCCTCACCTGCAGTTCAGCAGTCACTCCATGTCATAAACCAAACCCCTTCTTGCTCTGCACGGCCCAGAATGGGAGAGCTCTTAACAGGATTACTGCAACTGTCAAATTTCTGAGGACACCTCAGAACAACTTCAGTTATTCCATCATGTTAATTGGGAGACATTGCTGTATACCATATACCTCTACGTTTCCTTCCCTACTCCCACCTTGAGACAGCTGGGCTGTACCTCGTTTGTGGATTTGCTGTTTTCCACCGTTTATTCTGTTTCCTTGACGTATAGATGTTTTTTAAGAAGAAACCCAGTTAAACTGAACTGCTTTACTGAGTAGGACTGGGCTTACAAACATGTAATGTCAATGTTCTGTTGGGCCCAGCATCCCTTCTGAAGGTGCTTCTGTGTGCTTTTCTCAGTGTGTAGCATACACTGCTCACAATATTAATTTTGCTTTGAGCATGCAGAGGGCTTTTTAAATGAGTTTGACAACAGATTTAATTATCACTTGTTAGGTATTTTCTCTGTAAACTTCTAGATGTTTCTCTGTGCAGCTGACAGGACATGCATGCAGTGCAGTGCAGCACTGTATTTTCAGACACAAGCAGGAAGAAACAAAGTATTAATGTTGACAGTTTAAAAAAATAAAAAAAAAAAAAAGAAATTCCTTCCAAACTTTCTCATGCCCTGAAGTGAAGGGGTTGAATGTGCCTGTTGCCTTCCGGGAGAACTGGTGTCATTTCCTCAAATGGGTGAAACACCAGAACATTTTAACTCCCAGCGTACCATACTGTGGAAGCAAGTTTACAAGTCTCTGTTCTTAAAGGAGATTGAGTCAGTGTGATCTTTAGTCATTCAATTTAATTTAGGAGAAGAGTCATTAAAAAGTGTGTTGCAAGAAATTTACCCCTGCCTTGCCCAGAAGCTATTCTGATTTATTTCCCTAATAAAATTACCGTCATTATCCTCTGCCTTTAATCTGTCCTGGTTCTTGTACGAAGGCTTCAGATCCACCTTCTGTTTTCATCATACAGTGACCACAAAGCAGATCAGAGTTGGTTTGTTTTTTTCTTTTTTTTCTTCTTTCTTATTTGCAGGCCCACATTATTTGAATGTCTCCCTCTGAAAGTCTCTCAGTAGGCACAAAGCCTCAAACTTAAATGCTAGCCATTATCTGAAGTCTTCTAAAGAAGTAGCCCTGATTATTAAAACAGCTGTGCTTGATGATTATTTAGTGCTACTCTTCAGAGTACTCTTCCTTTTAATCTGTTTCTCAGCAAAAAGATGACCATGTAAAATGCAAAAGTCACCTTTCATGCTGTTCTGCAGAGCTACAGAACACAGTCAATTGGGGATGTGCTGACTGTGTAGTAGTTGCAAACCTTGGTGTTATGAAAGAGGCTGCCGTGAAGCAGTCTTGTTCTACAAAGTGTACGGATATGCTGGAATTTCATCAGCTTGAGGTTTTATGAAGTAGTTCAACTATTTAAGGTTTTCCCTTTTTTGGACTTTGAGTCTTTGAATTGAAAGCTAAAATGCAGTTGCTGGTAGAGATGGCAGGCATGGACTTTGCCAGTTGTCAGAATTAAATGATGAATCTTCACCATTTAGTATACAGGACCCAAATAACCCTTGTGTTTTGTAAGGATAGGTAGCTGCCTTACAGTTAAAATTTGGTTTGGTTATTCTTACATTACGTGCTGTGGGTTGGTTCTCTGCAGACTTGGATTATATAAATAAATAATTTTATTACTTACTGTAAATCTTGTAAGTTTTATATCAGCTAATCCATACAAGATCAGGTTTTATGGGAAGGACAGGACTAAACTTTTAGGAAAGGAAAAGTAGGTACTGAGGTCCTTACAAGGATGCTGTCACGGTTCTCTGTTCATTTTCTCACAAGGCTTCTAGCTTGCTTGGTGCACAACTCTAGCTCCATGTGACCCAACTGGTTAGGTTTGTTTAGCTGCAGTGTAGGGAAGGCCCTGAGCAAGAGAGGAGAAAAAAAGGTTTCCATTTCTAATTCTGGAAAATAGAAAAAGGTATTTAAATAAGGCCTGGAGGACGTCTTATTTGCCAGGAGTATGTAAAAAGGCAAGTTTATATCCTTTTGTAATGCACTGTAATTGAAAGGATGTATATTTCTTTTCCTAAAGTCAGCAGAAAAATCCTGGCCTCATAATGAAAAAAGGCTTTTTAAAAACTTTCTCCTAAGCACAAAGAGCTGAAGTTTCCACTTTAAACTTGGGTGGCTCATTCATATTTCACTTAATGGTAATATGGTATTCTCTTTCTCCCTCCCCCTTCTTACCACCAAGGCTAAAAAGGAGGAGGGGACATATAAAATGTTTCTGAAAATTACAGGAAATGTCTGTTCCTTTAACAGCATTGCCAGGGAATTTCCAAATGCGCTTAATGCTTATGGCTGAACTTGCAGCAGCTCGGTCTTCAGTCGTGAGTGGATCCTGTTCTAAAAATGTGATACCTCCTTCCAGTAAACTGTGTTGAAATTGAGTGTATGCTTTGGTTTTCATCTGCTCTTCAGCAGAGTTAATTGCACCCAATGGTGAAATGAGGGCTCTTGGGGGCTGCTTTAAAAACCTGTTTTGCTTCTATTTATTGAAGTGTGGAAAATGGTATATAGTTTCCTGAAGGGGTAGCTGGTTTATTTGTAAGGACTTTGGAGAGGCATGGGGTGGCAGCTACCAGTGAATGTGAAGACTACCTCACAGTGTTCAGAGACTTCAGCAACTGCTTGTGAATCAGTAAGGAGCAAAGAGGGAGATGCTTTCTGTCCCAGTATTTTGTTTCCTTGGGCTGTCACAAGGTGGTCTCTGATCATAGGGTCTTGTCTCTAGCCTAATCAGTGTTGAGCACCAGGTTAGTTTTAATTTCCATTGATGAGATTAGAAAAGGGGATAGCGACAGATACAGTGAGTAGGATGAGTTTTTTCTTCATTCTCCTTTGCCTTCTGCCAGGCTTCTGTCACTGGATTAGGGGAAAAAGCAAGGGAGATCTGCAGAGCCTTTTCTTGGGCTCAAAAGGGCGTCTGCCAGCCCAGGCAGGCAGAGGGAGGAAGACATGGCACAGTCTTCCACAGTCCACCAGGTCTTCTCATCCACCTCTCTGCCCTGCTGCTCTCACATACTTACACCTGTGTGCTAATGGTGGGCAAGTGAGAGGATCTCCAGCCTGGGATACCCTAGGGACAAACACACAGGTCCCAAACAGGGTCTCCGTCCCAGTGGGCAGAGCATGTTCTGGGTAGCAAACTCTCATTACGTGTCTGAAGGGCTCTAGCCCCATTTTCTGCTGCTGGTGTTGGCAGGGTTTTTAGAGCAGTTGCGTAAAGACAGAGAGGTGATTCTTGTAGCTCCTTTTCTTGCGAGGTGACGTGGGATATGACTGTTGTAATGTGCTCAGCCCTCTGCTACAGTGGCTCTTTGTGGTTGTCGTATAGTTTACTACTTGGTTGGGAGCCACTCCTGGGTTTCGTAATACGGCAGTGCTCGGCAATAATTTATTACCATGGTTTATATTACAGTGATTAAGCGGAGCTGTCATCTCTTGATTGTGATGATTTGAATCTTGTTTTTAGCTGCCCAGGAAACGGTTTGGAATTGACACTAATGTGTTTGTTTTTACTTCCTCGTGTAAAGGTTGTAATTTAATTTGTTCACCTAGGAACAGCAAGTACTTTGTATAGAAGTTGTACGGGTATGACTATACGTAATGATTGCTGACGCCAGCGTTACCAGTTTCCAGTGTTGACTTTTCTAGTGTGTGGGGAGGTGGGATTAATTACCTGAGACGTTCTGTTTTCGTTAGTCTTTGTGAAAAATATTGTTGTAGTCAGACTTACATATGGCAGTCTCCTATATTAACAGACACTGAGTGATAGTGTGTGTGAACTTCCTTGAATTCAGGCAAGTGCTTCACCCATAGGTCCTAGTTACAGATTAGTTTTCTAGCAAGAAAATGTGTCAAATTTTTTTGAAGGCTACTGTTGCTTGGGGTTTTTTTGCTTGTTGGTTTGGTTTTTATTTAAGTATCTCCAACCTTTTTAAAGATAGTTGGGAGATTTGCTCTAGGTTTTTTTCTTTCCTTTTAGAAAATCAGTATAACATCGCTCTCTATTTCAGACCCTTTCCATGTAAACTAATGCTAGCATTTATAAAACTCTTCTCACTTAGGTTTTCACGTGTTTGGGGGAGTTTTACAGCAAATGACTGCACTGAAAATGTGAAATCTGTTTTCTGGGATGTTTTTTGTCTTGTAATAAGGATCTTTTTTTTTTTCCCTCAACTATGTTTAGGTATTTCATTCTGCTGACCTCTGTATGTGGATCGCCCTTTGTCCTGTTCAGCCCATTTAGATTTTGACTTATACGTAGGTGAGTAATTGCTTTTAACATGAAATGATAAATTCTGGACTACTTTGACATGAATTCATTTCATTTGCTTTGACTTGGAAGTCATACAGTTAGAATCATCTTCTAAAAATCCATTTACACTTCTCCTGGTTGCCTAGTGTCACAAGCAATATAAAACTAAGAATGTTATGTATTACAGTATTTGTTTGGAGTGGATTAGGTAAGCTTTCATTCTTGGTGTCACAGAGCAATATGCTGTGAACTTGCAATGAAAAAGTATTTTGAAATGAAAAGAGCTTCTTGCTTGTATGGGTGGAGAAGGGAGTCCCTGGATAAAGCCTGAGCTGTTGAGCAGAGTGACGTAACAGATCAAGAGCATGTTCTAACGCTTCCCATGAGCTCACATTCTATCAAGTTTCCCTGCTATAATACTTTAAAATGTCTGTTGTTCCACAGTAAATGTCAAAGAGGTTGGCTTCTTGGTAAATGCAAGTGATGGCAATCTGGTTTATTGCTTACAGTTGGTGATGGTGCATGGATGATTCTTGCAAGAACATTGAACATATTTGAGGGCTATGTTGGTAGTAGGTCAGCAAAATGTTTTGGTGGTGTGGGTTTTGGTTTTGGTTTGGTTTTGGTAGTAGAGCACATTATATTATTTCAAAATCACTATTTATATGAAAAGCAGTGTCTTACTGGTATCTAAATAGAAGGTCCATTCATTTTGCTTAGCCCAACTGTCTTAGAGGTAGGTGTAGTAGGCGTAGAAACTGAACGAGCTTGAAACTCTAGACTGGGGTCTTTTATGCAGCTTATGTATGAGAAATTGATTACTTTTCTGATTTTATCTCTCCATGTATCAGTCTTAGATTGGAGAAGGAGAAAAAACGTGGTATTATCCATTCTGACTGCTTACATAGATCTAAAGTGCAGATGTGCTGAAAGCAGGAGAGGAGGGAGCAGCCATTCTGATCATAGGGATAAGCAAAGGAAAGCAGCAAGAAATTATTAAAACTTCTTTTCTTTTATGAACATGGTACATAAGAGACTTAAAAAATATTAAAAATGTATGTGTTTCTATTTGAGTGATTTCCTCACTGCTCTCTTGCACTAAAGTGGAGTGTGCTTGGTAGAGTGGGGGAAAGTCTGTGTTCTTCAACTCCCCTCAATCAATGTGAGAAAATGATGGGCTTATGAGATGATGACACTTACTTGAGTCACCTCAAAAGCCAAAACACCCTCATTCCCCTCAGTTGAGAACGCGAGCCCTTGTTAACAGGGCTCTTTTAAATCACAAGCATTTGTAATCTCATTCCTGTGTGGTCTGCACAATGGCAGGCAAGACATAGGCTTATTGTAACTTCAGCTACATTTTTTCACCCAGACTTTACACTTTATTACAGAGTTGTCAATCTGGAATTTATTGGCTTGCTTGCTAAATTCAGAAGAAGTATAGCCATTTCTCACTTTCACTTAAAAATCTTATTTCCCTTGTGCTCCGTAGACACTTTGGGTTAAGTAGGAACTTGGGGAGGGATTGGCCCTCCTTGGTTGTCACTCAGTCTCTAGCAGAATAGGTTACAAGCATCTCTCCAGAACAACTTTTATTTCTGTCTTTCTGAGGCTGGCGAGGGAATGCTGTGACTGTCATAGATGGTGGGAAGGGGTGGGGGGAAATCTTGCAGGAGTGGGAATTCACCCTGTGATACTCAGATCAGGAGTTCCTTTCTGATGCAGGAGTTTGTGCAGGCTTGTTCGTTGAGTATCACCTGTGGCTGTGGTGATAGGGACTGGTATGGTATTGGCACCAGATACTGAACCACTGTCAGCTCCCAGCTAAGTAACACTGAAGCCAAATACTCCTTTGAAAACAGCTGATGTGCTAGCAGTGGCATGTTTCCTGCAGTTTAGGATCTCCTGACTCTGTGTTTTGATTCAGCTTTTGCGTTTCTTTTTTATGCTGGTGCCCATCCTGAGTAACATGAAAGGAAGCTTGGCTGTAGGAGCAGATAGTGTTTTTCTCATATGTGCATGTGTTTGCTTCTAGACAGCAGAAAAACACAAGGTTTTAAAAAGATCAACTTTCAGGTGTCTCAAGCTGACTATGCAAGAGCTGCCCTTCAGGACTTTCTGATGTCCAGGTGCTGTAAAGTTATTAGGTTGGCGTTTAGCCATGCAGTACTGATGTATGCAGGAGCATTGCTGTATGCACCTGACAAAGCAGGCATTGGTGACGTTGGGAACACAATTGCTGAGTGATTGTGACACCAAAGTCCAACTTCAAGGTTATCTTCTTACGTGAGGTAGACAGTCTTTCAGAGATTGTAGCAAGGCTTCTAGAAGCTCTTTGCTAGTTCCTTAACCAAGGTAGAATTAGAGCATCCTTCTGAGAATTTTAAAAATACATTCTTCTTCATCTGCCTCTTTAAAAAAAGTTGCTATTATATGAGTCAAAGACTGAGATCATTAAAAAAAACATCATGCCATGATGCAAGGGAATTGCTTGGACTCAAAATCATAGAAGTGAAATTAGTAGTGCAAACAAAATGTGAGTTATTTTGACTGAAGAATCAAACACACAACTTTAGTGCCAGGCTTACAGTTAAGTGGTTGCTTGCTTCGCTCCATCTGAGCCATTTGGGATGGTGGCAAAGAGAGATCTTGTAGTTCTGCGGCAGCATTACATACACATATTGGAGATCCACTATTGGTTGTATGGAAGGTTGTAGTGTTTTTGTTATTTTGGTAAGGAAAAACTGAAAACACTTGGCAAGTTTGGAACAGATCTTTCTAGTTTTACAGTGAGTTAAAAGTTCAGTTTTTTTCTTTAAAAGATATAACAGTGCCATGTTCCAGTCCATCTACAAGGAGGAAGAAGCCGTGCAGTGTTACCAGTATATATGTGACTTCATGCAGTATTCCCATAGCCCAATTCGGGATCACTTTTCTGTAATCCTGATTTCAGTGTAGAACATCCTATGACTAAGATGGTTTCCTAGCTTGAAGATCACCAACATAATGGCCTGTTTAGGGCAAAGCATTCATTATACTGCATCATTTTATGAGACACTATGGTGTCAATACATACCACTATGATCCAAGTCACAAATAGCGCTGCAGAAAGAGAACACTCAAGAAACTGAATTTTAGGTTTTTACAAACTATGATTAGGAATGAAATGTGTAACACCTTATAGTAGCTAAATGATAAGAGCAGTCACCAGGAAGGGGAGGAGAGCTCTAGTGTTTAGCTGAAGTAAGAGGCTGCCAGTTTCTCTTGTTTAGATAGGTCCCAAGGAAGAGTCCCAAAGGCTGATAGGACCAGAAAGAGAATTAAACAAAATGAAACTCCGTAACTGAAAGAAAATGTTGTTCTTCCCCTGCCCAATGGAGCTGTTCCTGTAAAAATAGGATTTCAATCACAGTAACTTGAGGTGACATTTCTGTCAAGTTTTCTACTTTCAGGCCATGGGCAGAATGCTTTCAGAAACCTAACACATAGATATATGTAAAGGTAATGGTGCTATCTAAAAGGATTGTTGACTGGTGGTCCACATGCGTTATGTTGTTTACATGCTTTTTCCCTAGTCACCATATATGACTGGTTTGAGTTCTTTTTAAGGGTTTTTTGAAACAAACTTCCATCACATGAGAGTGAAGGCTAAGACAGTGAGCAGTAAGCATTTAGAAGATTAGAAATCTAACCAAACTGAAAGTTGCAGAATAAAGATTACATCTTTTTAACAGCCTCCGGTTTAGAGATCTGTAGTTTCTCAGCTGCTTTATTTTCCTGTTATTACTTGGACTTTAAATCAGCAATTTACCCATCAAAACAAACTGTCTAGTTCATGAACAAACTGTCTAGCTCACAAAGGAGCTTGAGCCAATTCCCACTAGAGCCAGTGGAAAAGTTTTCATTGAGTTCAGTGGGTTTGGTATCTGGCAGTCGTTGATACAAATAAAAGAGAATCAAAATTCCTGACAGGACATGTTAAGAGAAAGAAGAAGAATTAAAAAAAAAAAAAGCAGAATATTTTTTTCTCTCTGGAAAAAAATGGACACAACTATCAAGTTTCACTTCTCCCGCTTGCATAATGCCATGGTCCTGTAATACCTTCCTCAGGCCAGTATATAGTGACTGCTCTTTGAGGGAGGAATATCTCTGAGAATAAAGTTGTAAAGATAGGGTTTTTTTTTTAAATAGGTTTAATTAAGGCTTGGGGTAGTAATTTTTCCAATAATATTTGTGTTTTAGAGCAACATGCATTTCACTGCTGTACACTTCCATTGATCTGGACAAACTTAAAAGCACCGGCTCTGTAGCACTAGAGTCAGGGCAAAGAGAAAATCACATCTTGTTAACCTAATGGCTGTTTATGTGAAACCTGGTGGGTTTGAGTTGCTACATGAAACTCTTAACCAAACAAGTTTCTTTCAGTTTCCTTTTTGGGTTGTTCAGGTGAAGGTTGCACTTTTCTCAGAATTTATTTAAGATTTTGTCTGTGTTGATCTGTATAATATATTTTATCAGTAAAACATCTGCTGACCTGGGATTTCCCATTGCTAAACAGAACTGACCTATTGCTGTAACAGGACTTTCAATAACTATCTATAGGTTAGTTTCAGTTCATTACTTCTGTTGCAATTAATATAGATAGCAAACATTTCAAACTGGAGCAGCAAGTCAAGGCAATAAGTAAAATCTAAGTTTTCCATCTGAACCTCTTGAAATACTTATTAATATTTAAAGTCTTCATTCTCATATATACCTGTATATGCAGTAAGACTCCAGGAAGACATAGCCTCATAACTTGCTTCTGTTCACAAATGCTTTACTGCCTCAAGGGTGTTAATTAAGTAGATTTTGGTTTTCTTCATCTGGCCAGTTCAGTTTTGTGATACTTGTGTTATTTTGCTTTGTTCCAGCCAGGAGAAAGCAGAGGTAGAAAGGCTCTTTGGGTCATAGGTTGTGTGGCATGGGCCAGAACTGACATAAGAGTTGCTTGAAGGCACACTGCCTTGTACAAGAGGTGTTGCATAGTTCTGCTGACCTAAAATCACTTCCCCTGACAGGGAAAGGGAGTGCGATGGTACGAGACATGCAAACTGACGTGTTTTTTTGCTGAGCTGGCTTTACCCTGCGCTGATCTGAGTGCAGATTAGTCTGCCACACTAACAAGGTGAGGAACTGTCAGGCTTGTTCTTTCACGGACAAGCTCTAACCTGCGGGCTCTGCTACCTAAGTTGAAAAAGTCATCACCCTCAGCTATCCCCTCTTGCTGGAGCTGGTGACCAAGGCAGCTCAACATATGGTTTGTCTTACTGTTGCAGCCTTTCAGTTCTTAAAAGGGGCCTATAACAAACATGGGGAGAGACTTTTTATGAGCACCTGTTGTGATAGGATGGGGGGTGATGGTTTTAAACTAAAAGAGGGGAGATTCAAGCTGGACATGAGGAATACTTTTTTTACAGTGAGGGTGGTAAAACACTGGCACAGGCTGCCCTGAGAGGTGGTGGATGCACCGTCCCTGGAGACATTCAGGGCCAGGCTGGATATGGTTCTGGGCAACCTGATTGAGTTGAAGATGTTCCTGCTCATCATAGGGGGGTTGGACTAGATGACCTTTGAAGGTCCCTTCCAACCCAAACTGTTCTATGACTCTATTCTGTGTCTCTAATGTCCCATCTACTTCAGAAGGTCCGAAGACAGTACTCACTGCTGTATCTTCCAGTAGTGTATTCATGAGGCCTTCATTTCCACGTCTGGTGGTTAATTCAAATAAAATGCTTGTGTTTTGTTGTAGTATCTTATTCTGGTTTCTCTTCAACCATGTTCTTAAAGAAAGGAGGTGGACGTACGTTTTGTCTCTTCTTTTACACAGTTTCAGTTCCCCAGTTCGCAGTGCTGGTTTGTGAAATACTTTCCAGGGCATTAAACTTTAAAAATGTATCTTAGTTAATTTTACAACTTTTTACTAAGTGGTGAAGTACTGAAACACATTTAATTAGTTTTGCTATTGAAAGGAATGCATGATTTAGGGTAGTATATCTTAATTATATTCTAACAAAGTCTTGTGAAGAGGCAGAGCTAGTGGTAAAAAGAGTCCGCAATTAAGACATGGTATGTTGCCTGAAATCAAGATAATTGTCCAGGCAAGATCATTGGAATAGCTTCAGAGACTGCAATTGCGACTGCTCTCTCTAGGTGTTTGGCCTATATAGCAGAGAGGGGAACTTCTCAGGAGCGTATTTATTATATGGTACAGACTACTGTGCAGTTGGCCTCAGAGTTGAACGTTTTGTTCTGCAAACTTGCATGGCCTCATCTGGTTTGTGGTTTATTTATTTTTTTTTCATCTTCCCTTTCTTACAGGCTCTTAGTCCGGTGTAAAGCTGATGGGTGGGCGCAAAGGTAAAGAATGATGTAATTCAGCAGCCACCAGAAAGCATCTTTTGTTTGAATTGTAAAATGGCTACTCCATAGTCATCTCCCAATGAATCAGATGTGAGGGGCTGCTTTGTGGAATGCACCCTTTGTAACGGCACATCAACTGGAAGCAGGAGGAGACATTCAGTTGAAGAGCTCTTTCTGAAAATGGGTTTAACTTTTCTTTTGCCAGTCACTACCAGCATGACCTCATACACTTCTAGTACAATGGTGTGGCTAAGCCTTTGAGTACACAGCCATTACATCATCGCAGCAAATTAGAGAGGGAGGTGGTGAAAGAGGCCTTATTGTTGTCATGGCCGATGAGATGATCAGGACTCAACTCATTGTCGCCGAGAAGTTGGTGGCTTTGCTGGAGAGTGGTACAGAAAAACTGCTGCTGATTGATAGCCGCCCCTTTGTGGAATACAATACGTCCCACATCTTGGATGCCATCAACATCAACTGCTCCAAGCTTATGAAGCGGAGGCTGCAGCAGGATAAAGTTTTGATTACTGAGCTCATTCAGCATTCAGCAAAACACAAGGTAGGGGTCATTTTCTGCTTCTTCTTTGTATTTGGTTAAAAGAGTGCCTGGAAGGCAACTTGTAGTAGTTTTTCTTTAGATATTTCATTTTAAGAGTCCAAAACTAAGAGACTGAGGTTTGCTGAGCTCTTACCTGACGTAAGAGGCTCTTGGATACTACTGAGTTTATCTTTGAGATTCTTTGTAGCCCAGTTTTCCCTAAGTGACAGAGTAATGGAAAGGGATTTAGAAATTACTCAGAAAGAATGCTCTCAGCATTCTTGTATGTCTGTCAAATCCCAGTCCCTAAAATGTATGTCATTAAGGCAGGAAACATTCTCCTTCTAAACTTTGAAGGACTCTTTAGAGTCTGTGGTGGTGGGGATTGCTTAGAAAGTCATCATGCAGTTTTCAAAGAAACCATAGCTCTGTCAATCCTGGCTTTTACTTTCTGTTAAAAATGCTTTTTGTGGGAGGAGTTTGATGGGGTTTGATTGTTGGGTTTGTTTGGTTTGGTCAGGGGTTTTAGTTTTGTTTTGTTTCTTTTTTCTTTAAATAGTGTTATCAGTGAAAAGAAATCAGCTGAGCTGTTTAAACTTAATGTGTATCTGTGTGTGAGGTTTGGGTTTCTTTTTTTAATCCACTGGTACTTGTTTCAAATGTTTTACTGAGTACAAAAAAAAACTATTACATTCTTGCTTTGACATGTTAAAAACTGAATACGATGATGTTATCTAAAGCATATTTTATATATAAAGTTCAGTAGATGGTTAAAATGTGTGTGGCTTTAGGCAGTTAAAGGTCTCTTTATACACAAAAACCCTAAAGCAGAAACTGAGGTAGGGCCTTCTATTTAAAAAGCTTAGTTTTTAAGCTAACCAACCAACCTAGCTGAAAGTGAAGCATTTTACAAGTGACATAAAACTATCTAATAGCAGAAGTTTAGAGAGTGTGCTTCAACTTGGAGCAAATAATCAATTTGCAAAGTCTCAAAGGGATTAAATCGGATCAGACATGTTAAGTTTTTATTTTAAACTGTTTTGTATGCAGCTGTATAAGAAATCTGTATCTGAGCTGCTGTATAGCAAATACGTGGGAACCCTGAGGTGGGTGATAATGTGGTGCTTTTAATCATCTTCCTTGACATCTTATTGTGAACTACTTGTGTTTCAGATTGAAATTGATTGCAAGCAGGAAGTGGTGGTGTATGACCAAAGCTCTAAAGATGTGTCCTCTCTCTCATCTGACTGCTTTCTTACTGTGCTCCTGGGCAAACTGGAGAAGAATTTCAGTTCTGTGTATCTGCTTTCAGGTATGATGTACCAAGAAAAAAACCTCTTGAATAAGTGAAGAAATTAAATGCTGTCATTAAGTAGACATGTACACTGTTTTGTAACAGTGCTGGTACAAATTTCAGTTGCAGCATAGTTTTTCCTGTAGTTATTTAAGCATATAGTGGCACTCACATATAAACGCTTAGAAATGATATCTTACAGGGGATATATTACACCATTAGTACTGTGTACATAGAAACTGCTCAATGCAGGTTTTTTTAGATGCAGTTGTCTCTATTTTAGGTGCAAAAATAGCAAACAAAATGTTTTTCCTTGGTCTTTTAAGTAATGCATGTGCTAGGAAGAAAATCTGATCCTCACTGTATTGGTAATTATTACAGTGAGAACAAGAGAAATGTTCTTCCTGAGTTATGGAGATTATTTTGTGTGACATCTTAAACTTCAGCTCCTTATGTGGTAGCACTCTATTTAGTTAGGTCTTCTCTCTCCCCATCTATTTATTTATTTATTTAAATTCTAGATCTAAGCATTCATAGACATTAAAGTCTTTATAAAACAGGATTTGTTGGTGTGGAAGTGTGCTTGTGGTGTCATTTCTGTCATGGAACAGTAGACCCACTGTTCACAAGAAGGAATAAGGAGGGACATGAAGGAGATCCAGGGCTGAAAGAAGAAGGAATGGCGAATACAAGTAGGAAATCCATTTGCAGTGAGTCAGTTGGTGATCTAATGAAGTGTATACATAGTCGCTGAGAAATAGTAAAACTACAGTCAGAAACTGAATAATGATGAGGAAATGGGAAAGAGAACTCCAGAGAGATACTTCCTCTTAGCAAGAAGCTTTTACTGGGGTTTGTATTGACTTCAGATGAAAGTGATAGGGAGGTGGTTGGGTTACTGAAAGAACCTTTCTCAAACTATTTGGAAAGTGAGTACAGAGAAAATGCGTAAATTTTTGCACTTGGGCAGCTGCGTTTGGTGCTCATATGAGCTGTACTTAAACAAAGTAGGGTTTTGCTTTGGCTGTGTTTGGTGCTTCCGTTTTCTTTGCTGTCTTGGTAAAGATTATACCTGTGGGTTGTGAACTACAATATTGGAATAAGTAACAGTTCTTCCATACAAGCTTCCAAGTAAATGGGTGGTGTCTAGGCACAGTAAATGTTTAATATAAAAGCAATGAAATATGTGGTTGATACTCCTGTAAATTTGAAACTTATTTAAAAAATAAGCTAATATAGAAGCAGTTCATTTTTCTTAAGACATCCTTTTATTGTTCAAATACCCAACTCTGCTCATCTGTCCTGAGATTTCTTTAATAACCAGAAGTGTATTAGAGCTCCATGCAGCAATACAGACTATTCACAACTTAATTTCCATGACAGAACAAGATACAGCTCTCTAATAACTGAGAGTTACACTTCATGGCAGGGAGGAGTTGTGGGGAATCCTTAATAAGGGCAAGCAGAGGGGAGTGTCACAAAACTTCCCTTCCTTCTACTGTCCTGCTACAGACAAGATAGATGAAACATGGCTTTGATCATGTATTTCCTCTGCTGGACCCCATGCAGGAGATGGTTAGAGTGTCTCCATCCTCAGACTTTCCCATGGCTCCTGTAAGAATGGACAGTACCAGGAAGGGACCATTCCCCAGTTTCCAAGTGCATACCAGTTGCATGTATCATAATGATGCTATGAAAAATAGATTTGGTTTTATTTCTAGCACACAGTAGTTGCCTGTTAAAGCTGAAAATGTAACTTAAACCACATGTAAAGATACTAGTGTGCATTAGCTAGGTGAGGTGAACTTAGCTATGTGCAGCTGGTAAGGATTATTTTGGGTGTCAGAGAGAGGGAAAGGGGATCTAATGCATTAAAACACTGTTTATACAAAGGAGGATTTTTATTTTAGCATATCAATGCATTTTTCCTAGAAAACATTAAATTTGACAGTTTAATCTTATTTTTGGTTAAATAGCAATAAGGATATTTATGAGTGCAAAAACAACTGATGGCTTTAAAACCAGTGGTTAGAGGAGTATAGAAAAAAAGGGGAATATAGGGGGAAGGGTTTACTCCTGATCTATTACAGATTAGTGCTTATTTCAGGAAATATACCCAACTAAGATGGCAGTAATGAATGTCAGTTGTATTACTTCAGCTCTCTACCATTTTCTTCTTTTATAATACGTTTGTTCTGATTTTAATCCTTACACAAGAAAAAGCATTTCACAGTCTTCTTGTTTTCTTGCATCTATTAAAAAACTAGCTACTTACTAAACACACCCACCCAAGAAACCTTAGGGATGTGGGGTGAAAGAGAAGATGCTAGATTCAGTGTTATGGAAAGCATCTTGGTGATTATTGATATGTGGCTCTAGAAAACTAGATAAAATGTGTCGTCTCAGCAAGCTGATGACGAACTCTCATAAATGTTTATGGCTGATAATGAGAGTAGGGGTCAGTGCACCATGTAAAAAGAGCAACCTTTGGACTTCAGTTTTCTCTGTGCCGCTCAATCAGGTTTATTTAAAATAGTGATCTTAAGTAAACACTGGGGGGTAGGAAAATATTTTTTTTTATTGGGATAGAATAAGGAGCAATTAACAAGTATCTGAAATTCCTGCATCTGTTCTTCCTGCCTCCCCCCATTACTGAGCAGTCGATGAGGTGGGGTTTTATTTAGGTTGTGCATAAAGGTATGCTCTACCCTGGAGGTTATTTTTCGGTAGCTGTAAATGTAAAGACCTCAGAGGAACCCTTGCCAGTTGGTTTAAGCTCTTGATCTAACCTCATAGATATATCTATAATCTGCTGGAGAGTGTTTTCAGGAATTTGGTTTAGTTCTTAACAGTGCACAAAACACTGAAATACGGGTACTGAAGGCTTAACCCCAGTCCCATCACTGCATCTACTCTGGTGAGTTAAATAAGATTTAAACATGGAGATGTTCTCTTTGAGAACTTTATTTACTTTAATGGAGTCCTTTTCCTAGTTACAGTGTTTTTATGATGTTCCTGCTTGCTCTGTAGAAACAAGAGAGACTACTGATTCTTGCTTGAATTACAATTAAAGCTATAAACATCAAGAGTCTTGCTTCTATTCCACTACGCCAATGAGAATCATTCGTGTCGTACTTTCCTACACACTCTTCCCTACTTCTGTTAATCTGTTTTACTCCTGCTTGAGCAAGTATAGATATCTATGTGATGGTTACCTGTCAAATTTTGCCTGTACAGAAAATGAAACCCATCTTTTTATTTTGTGTTGGGTTTTCATGGGTTTTTTGTTGTTTTTTTTTTTTTAATGGAAGACTCAACAGTCTTGTTGAGGAAGGATTTCTGAAAGGGAAGAAACCCAACTAGCCAACCACCCAACAACCCCCTAAGCCAGAGACCAGAGAAATGCCTACCTTTCTGTATTTCCAACCTGATGTTAAAACTTGTAAGGAGCCCCAGACAGACAGATTGTACTGGTTCTGAACTGAAGCCAAAAGCGAGAATTCTTGTACGTGGGTGGTGGATGTGGAGCAGTGTTAAATGTCCAAGAAGGACTAGCTAAACTTCAGAGTATTGTAATGCAGGGTCATAGAAACAGTTTCACTGAACTCTCTAGGAATTTCTTAGTGCTGCACGGTGACAGTGTATTTTGTGAGCAAACAACCAAGGACATATTTTTCTGTCAGTGGCAAACAGAATGAGTTCAGTGAGATTGGGCAAAGGTCCTGGAAACAAAGTAGCGATTAGCCAGGGACTGTTGCAAAAGGTATGTTTTTGCTGGAGTCCCAAATCGTTGTTTTCCCTCTGACCTGTCCCTCACCTGACAAGTGTGTGTACAGAGCGGAAGGCTTGCGTGGAGGATGCAAGAAGAAAACAAGTGAGGAACTCTTCTACAGTCTTGTTTATGCTGGCTTTTTTCTTAAAAATATTTGAAATTGGAAGCCCATTGAAAGGAATCCTAGTATAGAAATGCCAGTATCTCTAGGGTACATTTATCATGGCGTTGTATCTACTTGCCTAAAGCAAAGCTGGACAGAAAAAAAGCCCAGTGCTCTCTCCCTGCTTTGTCACTAGAGAAAACATGCCTTGTGGCAGAGGAGAAGGAAATCTTAACAATATTCCCTTATAGGTAGAGCTGGTAATTTTTATCTCCTGAAGTGACCAGCGCTGCAAAACCTGAGCTTTCTTCCCCACTTCTGCAGCCCCATATGCCAAGCAGGAGGGTACCCAGTGTGGACTGAAAGATGGCATGATGTAGCTGTGGTTTGTGCCATCTGATAAACTCCTGTCTGACATCTTTAACACTATTTAAGTGTTAAAGTGTTAAGCGTTGGAGTTTAGTAATTTCTGGTTGTGGCTGACTGAAGTTCTGAGTGTTCCCAATATGTAAGTCTTTGCAGAGTCCCGCAAGGAGAAGAGCACACCTTCAAACGGTGGTCATAGGTTAAAATAGTCAAGACATCTGCAAATTGAATTAATTAGAGCGAGAATGAGCTCTTAAATACCCTGCCAGTGTTCAGAGAAGGAAGGATGGTAGCACAATGATGCCAGCTTTCCTGGTACCCTGGCTGATGCTATTAGAAGCAAATCTATTGAAAGAGGTAAAAACTTTGCTGAGGGAGTGCAGTATTCCCCAGGTGGTCCTGTAACCCATGGAGTTCAGCCAGTATCAGTGGGGAGGAGACAAGAGTGAGAGAGGAGCTTAGCTGTGAATCACCCTCTTCAAAAGTCTCCCTTTCCATCAATTTTTAATGAGAGTGAGGAGAAACTAGTACCTTTGGCTACAGCCAGTCCTCTGCGAATATCCTCCCACCCTTTGTACTTAAAATGCAGTTTTGAGTGTTCGTTCAGTGCCATGATTGTTTTAAGCACTTGAAGAATGGGAGTAGGGTTTATTACTTTCATATGTGCATCCACTTGCTGTCTTTTGACAGGGAGAACAAAGTTTGACTAGTGTGGAGCTCTCATAACATTTCTCAAACCCAAGAATAACTTGTTAAGTTTGCTTTTGTTTTGGATAC